TCATTGAAGAGAACTAAGAAGTCACTCAAAAGGTAATGTAATATTAACTAGAATGGCTATTGCCAAAAACAAGAAGACTCAAAAGTCTTAGACTTAGAACAACATTAACAAAAGTGAAAAAGGCTTCATTTTTGCCTCTATGTATATTCTTAACTAAGAGCTATGTGGCGATGTCTTACAGGACCTCTAAAATATGTTGACTTTACTAGCCACATGTCTTAACTTGCAAGGCAAGTTATCTATATATGCACCACATGGTTAGCTTATTTCACAAGCTATTAAGTAGAATTAACTTGTTCCATAAGCTACCAACATGTGATTAACTTGTTGGCCAAGTTTCTGACCTATAAACACATCTAAAGTCAAACTACGTCTACAAAGCTTCTAAGAAGCTTTACTAAAAAAAATTATGAAATTAATCTATATTTATCTACTTCTAACTAATTATATAAGTAATTATTGAAGTAAATGTATATATATGTGATACTTAGAAAATAACAAGGTTTCTCAAATATTCTTTTTAAATGCTCTTATCTTGTACCAAAAGAAGGAGACATATCTTTTGATCAACAACGAACAATCTTGTTGAATTTGAAGCATTTTCATCTTCAAGAAATGCAATCAATAATGATTGTTAATTTGATCTTTATCAAATAAATTCAATCAAGTATGTCTTCTAATCCTCTTCTTCATAATATCAAGAATCTTCCTTCTAAGTTTTATAATGGTTCAAAGTTTGAATTCAAGAACAACCTACTCTATTTTAAATTTTGCCTATATGTTCCATAAGAAGAAGTACATTTACGTTTTTTTCGAGAATGTCACAACTTTCTAACAACAGAACATTTTAGATACAATAAGACTTTATAGCTGTGAGATTTTTAGTGGCACAAATGTCGGAGGTAGTAAAAGACTTTGTATAATCATGTGACATTTGTTCAAGATCAAAAACTCCTTACCATTGACCTTATAGACTTCTCCAACTATTACTTATACCTGAACAATCATGGTCTTCCATTTCTATGGATTTTATTACAAATCTTCTAAGTTCAAGTTCATATGACTTTATATTTATAATTATAGATTTTTTCACCAAAATCACTTATTTTATACTATGTATAAAATCTATTTTAAGTAAAGAAATAACTAAGCTTTTTATTGAAAATATCTATTGCTATCATGGATTGCCAAAGAATATTTTATCAAATAAGGAGACTCAATTTGTATCAAGATTTTAGAAAATTCTATTTAAGATTTTCAAGGTGGATATAAAGCTCTCTTCAACTTTTAATCTTCAAATTGATGGACAAAAAAAATAAGTGAATTAAGTTTTGGAGCAGTATTTGAGGTATACCATCAATTATTATCAAGATGATTAGATAACTCTTTTGCTATTAGCAGAGTTTGCATATAATAATTCAATACATTCTTGTATTAAATAAATATCTTTTTTTCCAATTATAGTTATCATCTATGACTTGATACTTTTGAATTTTTAAAAGTTGATAATCCTACAGCAAAAGATTTTGTAAATTATTTATCAAAGCTACATGTAATAATAAAGTTACAATTAAAAGAAGCTCAAGAACAACAAAAGAAAAATGCAGATGCCTATCACAAGAAGCAACTATAATTTAATGTGGGTGATAAGATAAGATTATTTTGTAGCAATATCAAGACTACTTGTCCTTGTGATAAATTGAACTATTATAGGTTGTGATCTTTATATATTTGTAAACAAATCAATCATGTTGCTTATCAATCATATCTACCAAAGTCTATAAAGATCTACTTTATATTTCACATATCTCTTCTTGAGCCATATAAGATAGTGAATATATTTTGGAAAGAAAACAATTGTCATATCTTCTTATAGAAGTGAATAATGATCAAGAGTTCAAGATGGAAGAAGTCTTAGATTCAAGGTAGCTCCAAAATAGCTTAGAATATCTTGTTCATTAGCGTAGATATGATATTAGTGAATATACATAGGAATCAATAAAGAATCTTATAAATATAGCAAAGAGAGTTGAAACTTTTCATCGACAAGATCTATCAAAATCAAGATGAAGAATAGCAAATCTTTGTTATAAAAGAAACAAGATCAAAGAAAGATATCATTCTACTTTCTATCTTTTTTTTGTAGCTATTGTTTATTTATAATGATAAGGAGATGGAGAACCAATAATGTGAAGACTCAACTCAAGAGTTTTTTATTTGCGGACTTATCAGATGAGACATTGCAATTGTAACAACCTTCAAGATGACAAAATTAAAATGAATATCCTCAAGAACCACATGTCCTTCTTCAAATCGATGGCAAGTTATAATGTGTTTGGTATCCCAACCTTAGAAGAAAGTCCCAATATTTGATAATTTTATTAGAGGTAGAAACAACTTCTGATGGTGTTCTAAATGTTTTATTTAAAGGAAGTTATGAAGGCATCAACAATGATCAAATAACAAGTTTTTCTTCTTGCCCTGATATGAGACACTATTGATGGTTGCAAAGACCTATCAACTAATTTCAAAGAGAACAAATATTAGAGTATGTAGCAAATACAATTTGTCACATCTTAGATTTTCTTAATATATGAAGCCCGCTCTTCGTAGAACTTATTTCTAAAAAGAAGGATAATATCATGGATATATATATATATATATATATATATATATATATATTTTAGTAAATATCTATATAATTAGATAGAAGTAGGTAAAAATAGATAAAAGTAGGTTAATTTAATAAAACCTTATAAAAAAGCTTCTTAAAAGCTTTATAGATGCTGATTTGAATTTATATATGTTTATAGTTGATTGATAGGTTAGAAACTTGGTCAAAAAGTTAACCATGTGTTGGTAGCTTACGGAACAAGTTAATTATATAGCATGCATATAAAAAAATTACCTTGCAAAATCAACTTATTTTAGAGGTCATGTATGACATTCCTACATAGTTCATAGTTAAGAGTATATATGGAGGTAAGAGTGAAGTCTTTTTCACTTTTGTCAATACCTTTCTAATCATTAGTCTTGTTCCAAGAATTTCTAGTTTTTTTGTTTTTGGCAATAGCCATTTTAGTTTAATATTATATCATCTTTGAGTGACCTTCCAATTCCTTTCAATGATACAAGAGTGTATTAAGGATTTTCTTTCTTTAAAATTCATATCCTTAACATTAGAGTGGAGATGCAAATGATAAAAGATCAACAACAAGATATGTGTTCTTTATTGGAATAGGAGCTATCTCATGGAATTTCAAGAAACAACCAACAATTTCAAAATTATCAATGGAGGTGGAGTACATGGCAGCAAGCAATGATGCAATGGAGGCAATATGGCTAAGATAATTTTTAGAAGACATTGGAGTATTTCAAATGAAAGTAATTCGAATGAAGTATGAAAATTAAGAATGTCTAGTATTTTCAAAAAATCCAAAGCATTATTTAAGGACCAAGCACATTGACATTCAACATCACTTTATAAAAAAAAAATATTGAAATGAGAGTGATTGATATGAAGTATTGTGCAACAAAAGATATGCTTGTTGATTTATTGACAAAAATACTAATAAAAGATAGATATCACATGTTGATAAAGGCATTAGGATTGGAAGCCTTTGATCAATAGCAAAGTAAGAGTGTTAAAGTATATAAGTAAATGTAAAAGTATAATAAGTAACATTGTAGAGGGTATTATTTTAGGTAAGTTGCTATTGGTTAAAGAGTTGGCTCTTAGTACATAAGAAGGTCAAGAGATAATATAAATAAATGGACTAAAGATCTTAAGAGTATAGAAAATATGCTAAAAGCATATTTATATAGTAGATAAGATAACAATAGACAGTCTTGGTAGAATATTGGATGGATATATTCATCAAAGGATGGAAGTTATCCATTAAGATAGTTGCCACCACCTATAAATAATGGATGTTGGAAGTAAGAGATATCTTACTTCATACTCTTTTTATGTGCAATCTTGCTAATGCTAAGTATTATAACTTCATAGTGCTTGTTCTTCAATATTTCCATCTCTTATCATTGTAAATGGCAACAAAAATCTTAAACATAGTTATTTTTTTATAAATTTTTTTTATAAATAAAATATTATTAATTTTATATTATTATTATTATTAAAAAATATTCCTCTTATTTTAATTTAAATATTATTAGATTATTTCATTATATTTTATATACATTTATAATCTAAATTTTTTGAAATAAAATTTATGATATATAAGTCTTTTAAAATAGACATTTTGTGAAAAATTTGTAGTTGAAAAGAATTATATATCATAAATTTGTAGTTAAAATGAAGATTGGAATGAGAGTTAGAAACAAAGAAAGAAGAATAGAGGGAATTGAGATGAAGAAGGCTGAAAATGGAAGTGGGGGCTAGAAGTAAGGGTGTTAGGATGAGGGCTATGATTGTAATAATGCTTTTTGGAGATGATTCATTTTTCAAATAATGGTTACTATAAGGTGGGTAGATTTAGTAAATGGATGGGTTATTTTAATATTTTCTTGTACATATTCATATAAAAACATAATATTGTTTATTATCATTGTTACTAAATAATTTCTACTTTTTCTTCAACATGTCATAACAAGTGCTTTCATTTAAGTACAAATCCACTAATAATTTTATTCTTTTTTCATTTATCATATACAGTACACCATATCAAATCTCCAACCAACAATTACATTCTCCAATACACCCAACACATATATGAAATAAATACAAACATTGTCAAATACACCCTTGAATAAACCACCTTTCCACACACACTCCCAATGGCAAACCAACACTCAAACCATTATAACAGAAAATGCAGAGCATAGGAAGAAGAAAGAAAGAAGAAGAAGCAGAATCAAAAAGTAAAGGCAAGGGAAAGAAAGCGCGAGGACTGCACACAAGCGCCATGTCATCAAACCAGTCAGCCAGAGTGGGTGTAGGGAACCATTTGAAATACCCCTCCCGCGTCCCCATGACCCCAGTGGACTCAGCCTCGGGAGTAGCGAGGGAGCACAGACACCATCATCATCGTCCCCTTCTTCCCCTCTCCCTTGACTTCGTCCTCCTCCGACTCTCCCCCCCCCCTCGTCGTCTTCGGCGATGCATGCCAACGCCGCTGCTAGATTCAAGGAGCGCGCGATCGTATTTTTGGAAGAGGGCGCTGAGGTTGCGCATTTCTTTTCGTACCGCGCCTGCACACTCCTCCTCCTCCTCCTCGCGACGATAATGACAACATCAGCAGCAGCTTGCGGGGGGAGATTTTAGGGTCCCCCCGGCATAGTAGCAGCCTCCTCATCGTCATCGTTCCTCCGCCCTCACCACTCCCGGTGTCTCCTCCTCCTCATGTGTTGTCGTCTCCTCGTTTCCGTTTCTGTCACCACCCTCTCTCATCGGCGTGCTCTGCCGCTTCTACGTACCCCCACCCTCCACCAGTGGAAGTAAGCAAGCAAGGAAGGAATCGAGGATGGTTACGGTGTTCGATCGAGAGAGCTAGGGTCGCGAGTGATCCGGTGTGAGTGACTCAGGAAACGGGCAAGGTTGGGGGCGTTGCGTGTGACCGCCTCAGCTCTCGTGTGCTTCAAGAGTGGCAGATTTGGGAGGTTTTGGTTTGTGCGTGGAGATCGAGCTTCGCGGAATTCGAGCATGTGGACGGCCGCGTGCTTGTTATTTTTTTTCTTTTCTTTTCGCATTGCGTGTTCTGATAGAGAGTGTTGAGTGTGTTGACTTAGGAGTGTACGCTCATGACGCGTTTTGGTGAGGATCGGGATATACTGGGACGAGAGCCTGCTTTGGGTAGTATAGGGGTTTGACGTTAGCGACGTGACGATCTTGGTTTGATTTGCGGCAGCTGTGCGGCGTTTGCCGGCAGCCTTCTAGTCATCTCGACTTCTGTGAGGGTCACCGTTAAGTGGCGGGCTTGTTGCGGCGGATCGCCGCAAACCTAGGACAAGAGGAGCGTGTTGGAGGCATTTCTTCATTCTGGTGGGCTATGTGACTGAGCGTACCCACAGATTCCAGCTGCACAAGTCCGTGGAGATAACGTTTCAGGGATTTCAGGGGTCGGCATTTTTAGAATGGGAGGAGGATGTGGGAGCAGGGTCCTTCGAGAAGAGCCTTGGTGATTTTGCAAAGGAATGTTGCATTGGAGCTCTTTTGAAGCGCATAGAGAAGGGTTTCTTTTTCTTCCTACTTCGAGGGTGGGAACGATTAGCCGACATCATCAGTTGACGCTTATCTCGCAGAAGATTTGCCAATTCACGATGGAGGACGACTCTATGGACTCCGCGCCTTCTTCCTCTGATTTTTCCACCAACAATGTGTACAATGCAAGGTTAGAAGATATACTACGAGGATTCGCTAAGGATCCCAAAGCTCTAGCTCATAAACTTGGGGATTTTACAGTGCGGACATTAGTTGGGATGAACGAGGAGGAGTACCAAAAATTGTTTGAGTTGCTGCGATCGGACTTGTCGGTAGCTGATTTTTTCGCAATCAAAGTGGCAGTTAGAGAGGCCAAGAAGCGGTTCAATGCAGGTACGTAAGTTTTGGTACGTAGCGGCCAGCTGCATTTCCTACAAGCCAGAGCAACTGTTTAATGTCAATATCCCCCATCGCCTTTAATAAACGTGACACATTTTCTTAGCGTTTCCCAACATTTCGTTTGTTTTTACTGTGTGCTTGATTGGTTGGAATCAGTAACTTATAATACTCAACTTAGTATTTCCCCAAACAAATTTCCGGGATGATCATGACTTGTGATATTCTATAAGGAATTCTCATCTCATGCTGAAATAATAACGCTAGGGTCATGCCAATGCTCTTTCCATTCTTCTTTTTCTTTTTCTTTTCCTGGCTTTTCCCTTCCCATAATGCGAACTGATTGAACGCGGCGTTTGAAAAGACGAACAATCAACTTCAGTGTCGCCAAAGTTTGAGAGAAACAGGATTTGCTGCTTAAAACGCTTGTTCAACGAAGAAAACCCTCACTCCGATTATCATAGTATTCGGCAAGAGCCAGATGATATGAATCCCTTTCACGCTGTTCACTACTTTCACACTATGGACCGCATACCTTGAAATATTGAGTGTCCGTTGCAATCCTTGAATATTTAACAGCAATTGTTGTAACCAGACGCACTGTGTGGATTGCATGTTCAGAGAGTACTTCCCCGCGCAGTGCGCACTCTACCCCGCGTGCAGGCAGTGCTTCAGGGGTAACACGCCCCACCGTCGATATAGCCTCCTCCAGCCGCGTCGATGTCGAGAGACCTCTGCCCAGACTCCCAGAGCACGTGATCCACATGGTGCTCGCCCGTCTCCCCGTCCCCTCCTTCCTTCGAATGCGAGCAGTTTGCAAAGACTGGTGGCACCTCATGTACGCCACAAGCTTCCTGGAAATCTGTTCGAAACGATCCTCCGAGCGATCATGCTTCGTTTTCTACGAACGGGGGAAAATGGTGGCCAACGGTGAGGGTGCTATTTACATCCCCTCATCCAACAAGTGGCTCAAGCTGAGCCTAAGCTTCCTTCCTTGCAATTTGAAGGAGCCTGTATTAGTGACAGGCGGAGGCGGTTTGCTCTGCTTCGTCTGCAACAAATCAGAGAGTGGTAGTGTGATTGTGGTTTGCAATCCAGTCACGAAATCTTGGCGTGAGCTCCCTCCTCTGGATGTGGAAGACCCAGAGGATTTCATGTGGTACTTAGCGATGGTAAGCATCGTCGTGGACGAGCATTCCAATAGCTACAAGGTTATTTTAGTAAGTCAAACTAGCTACGAGCCATACAATGCCAGTTGGAGAACCCTAGTATATAGTAGTCTAACTAAGGATTGGTCAAGGCCTCATTCTCATTACCTCGGTGCCGACGTCCACAACGATACGTGTGAAATGTGGACTCCTGTCGAGTGCAACGGCGTCCTCTTCGAGAATTTCGGCACCGAGTATGTCTGGACCTACGACTTGCTCAGAGGAACCTGGCGGCACATTGAGCTACCGATCCCTTCTGACTCCGCTGAGGAGAGAGGCCTGGTGGAAATTCATGGACATCTCTTCCGGGTGCTGCAGACAGAAGACGACGACATGAAGAATATCCAAATCTGGGAGCTCAACCCCACCGACTTGTCGTGTTTGAATGTGGAGTTCATGCCGGTTGAGTTGGCGGTGACCTTTTTGGATGTTTCCTTTACTGTGCTTGGGATCCACAGCATTGCTGGCAACGATGCGCTCTGTTTTCTTTCGCTTAAAGGCCAATCCGCCCTGCTCTATGATTTGAGTGAGAGGTCTTGGAATTGGATGCCGAAGTTCCCCTTATTCAAAGGGTCGAATAGTTGCTGTTTGAATCTGAGGCTTGACATCTCTGCTTGACGATTGCCCAAGGCGTCTTGGATAGCAGCGATGGAGAGTAAGATTAGATCACCTTCGATGCTGCTGTGGAGGCGACCTGTACAGCTGGATGGGTGTCGTCAAATTAACCTGTTTAACTTGACTGGTCAGTATTGTGTAAATTTATGTTCCGAATGTGGTGATGCGCCTTATTGTGTCAACTCAGAAAAATTGTGATTGAAGTGGAGATCCTTTGCCATTAGAATGTTTAACAATTATACCGTTTTCAAAAGGTCAAAGTTTGCACTTATATCATGTTTGTGAGTGGGACAATAGATCGTTTGGAATGTTGTATTCATTTTTGTGCTTTCATACCAAATATTTTTCATACATGCAAATTATGACTTGTGCATTATTTCACGGTTGAGATGAAAGTTGTATCAACAGGTCCTGGCAAGTCCCTAGCGTGGCCTGTCCAGCTAAATATCGTAGACCATCAAGATCGCCCTGTGTACGTTAAAATTATTGTTATACAACATTAATTTTGTCCTAAATATTACTTAGTGAAAACATAAAGTATGGAAATAAACCTTACAAGAGGTTGTAAAGAAAATGTTATTGATTATTAATTGCTGGCCAAAGCATTGTTTTGTACTCGGCAGTGCTAGAACTTAAAAGAGTCTATACAGAAGAGTACCCTGTAATCCTCATCACAAAAGCCAAAAGCATGAGGCTGCGGTGAATCAAAAATTCATCATCGTTCCTTTAAATCTATGGTAGGACGAGTCATGATGGTGAGCTTAGGAAACGGGATTTTAATTATGTTGAATCCGGGGCTGCTTCTTGTGGAGGAAGTCTTCTCGATCTAACACCCGAGAAAGATTTCAGGATCACAGCAGCATTCATCCACTAGGCAACAACAACAGAGCGCGGCAAGGCTGCAATTTCCACATATAAAAAATTCGTCAGATGGATGGTAATGTTACGAAGAATCTAGAGTTCCCTCATAATGAGTATAATTTCATTGCAAGAACAGAAGGCGTAACGACGATACTGTGATCCATGATATAATAAAGAACCTTACCATCCTTTCAAAAAGCCACCCTCACGTCTCCGCTGATATCCTTGAGGAGGTCCCATGACTGGGGGACCTTGGTAATAACCTTGTTGAGGATACCCTTGAGGATACCCTGCAAACAGAATACCATATTACAATCAGCAAACCTAATCACTTGTCATGGTAGAAACACCAGAAAAACAACGAAAAATAAAAACAAAAATAAAAAATCTGTGTACCGAAACCCTATCCGTTGATTTGGTCCTCTTCAGGAATATTTCCAGAGGAGCAAACTCAAGCCAAGAATGATCTACCGAAACTACAATGATGTTTACACTTCGTGTTTTCTAAAATGAAAGAAAACAAGAGGACCAAAATATTGTAACGTTGACAAGTTTATAATCGCTCTCAGGTAATATCAAAATATCAACCATCTAGGTCCTACAGCAACTCCAAGAATTTAAACACCAAATAAAACGTAAGCATCGTGGAAAAATTATGAGGCAGTAACGAATCGCATGCAAAGTAACGCACCTTCAGGTGGGTAGCCGTAGGGCACTCCCCCCTGCTGAGGATATCCGTGTTTGTGTCCGTGCTTGCCCTTCCCCATCTCAACTAGAAAACTGAGCAAATATCAGGTATCAACTTCAACGCCAATTGCAATCTTCTTCACCCACAAATTGCAATCAACAGTACACCTGATCCTCGCGTGCAAAACTATACAAATATACAACTCTAAACTCTTTTCCAATCGGGCAGAATTGTTTTCTAAGTCTAAACCAGCGACATGAGACTTGATGGGTCGAGAGGTGATGTTATAGCGAGTTGGGTACTCGTGATGGACGGCAGGGTAGGAAATATCAAGGAAGAAGGGAAGAACCGGATTATACAAAAAATATCCCGGATTCGTGAGCTCCGTCAGAACGTGTCAAGCAGTTTTCTTCTGTTGCAGAAGACGTGTACAGCGTATGTGTCGAGCAATCCATCAGGCACGTGGGACCCTTCGATAAGCCCTAGGATGCGACAAACTATCGTCGGTTGCCGTGTTCAAGGCGTGCACTGGAAGCGTGCCTGATGGGTGACGATTTTTCCACTTGTTTAGGTGCCACCAAATCTTGTTTGAAACATTACATCCTTCTCTAACCCCAGCACCTGTTACTAAGTACCTACTTAGGTCACATGCGGCAAGTGGCGTTTGGAAATGGAAGTAGCTACGTCTGTGGTTTTGAAGAACATTTGGCAAAATTGTTGTGATTATCGACACGGATGTCAAGCTCCCATCTCAAATGTGTTGCTCTAACAAACCTTGGGAGAATAGCCACCAGCCGCTTGTCTTGCTTAGTGAGTGATTTGGTGGCACCCAGTTTTTTCATTTTGCCTCATTGCTCCGCTACTCTGGAGCTGCATTCGCATCTACGTCTGGTCGGTGGTTTCTCTTCTCTCTTTCATTTCCTACAGCGAGCTTCCAGCAAAATTTAAGCACTTTCATTAAAACCTAGCACAAAAGAAGTGGGTCTCATTCCCAACCCATGGCTGAAGACTCGATTCCAGGAACTCCCGGCATCTGAAGCATTCGGCTCCGACTCTGCACGAAAAAACACAGCATCTCGTGAGTGGTGGGTGTAGAATCACCAAACATTCTAGAAACAAAGTGCTCCGACGTGGAAATAGCTGCCGAAATCCTGCTCTTCCTGCTGCTGCTCCTCCTCCTGCTCCCATTATCCCATAACCAACAATGCCTTGATAAAAAAATCAGCAGCAGCAAACATGCTCAATCACTCACTCTCATTTCTACAACAAGTTGGAAGTTGTTGTTTTGTGAATGTTTCTTTGTCTCCCACATCGTTCATTTCCTCCTTTCCTACCTCCTCACCATCATCTTCATTGTGTTGTCGTTTTTGTTGAAGTGGCCATTGTAATATATTGGCACAACTTGGTTTCTCCAAATGGGTTGTAGCCACAATCAATATTTTACTTTTTATGGAAGAAGTGCTCTTTTTGGGGTTTTGATTTTAATTTCGAAAAAGTTTTCATAGATTTTCAGAAGATTTATTGATTCATCATAAATAAAGAGGAATGACAAAGTGATCCATCCTTTTACTAAATCGACCCACCCTCTCTTCCATCATCCCAACCCCCCTCGTTCCCGGCCCACGCTCGTTCCCAGCCCACGCGGACTAGCATTTGCAATGGCAGCGCAATCGCAGTATCCGGCAAACGTCGTTCTTCCCGATGGAAACAACAGGTCCAGACAGATCTCCTTCGACTTCTACATTCTGGGCGGCTTTCGCCACAACGGGCGTGGAAACTCAACTCTCATTGTGGCTGTTGGTAGTCTTTTTTCATGCAGAGGGGCTTGTTCCAAATGATCAAGCTGATTGTGTGCTCTGATTTGGATCAGGTCCAGAGCTGCTGGGGAAATGAAGATCACCGCACCTTCTTGGAGGCGGAGCTCAATCAGAGCTCATATTTCGGGAAGTTCCAGAATCCGTCTCCTGGAGTGACCAGATCGAAGCATTATCGCCTATTCAACCAATGTGAGATTTTAGACAAACTCTTTGAATTTACCTGCCCCGAATCAGCTTCCTCCAGATTGGCCCCGGATCTGTGGTTAACCCTCAATCTACAGGTGTTTCGACAGGTTTGCAGCTTACCTTCGAGGATGATCGGCTGCGCTCTACTTCGCCAGTTTCCACAAGCGGGAGAGTCGCTGCACCTTTGCAGCAAGATAGAGACGATGAAATTGAGCAACTTTTAAAGATTCAGGTAATCATCCCACAGTCACAGTCATGTTGCACTCCACCCAGCAGCGCGACGTACAATAATTTTGGGCTGTGGATTAGGGCTGTAGATAAGCTGACCCACATGGAGCGCCAGATTCACTTTGTGCATTAGAATCTTCTCGCTTGTCATGGTCGTTGTTGTCTTCCTCTTCTACAGCTTCAGATTCTTCATTTGGTTGAGTGGTCCTGAGCTGGCGACTTCTCGCGCTCCACGACATGAGGCTGCTTGAGATTGTTTCGCGTCGCGGGACTCGGATTGCCAGGATTTCGTGGTAGGTTAGTTGTTTTGGTCAGCAAATTGGGGTTTTCTCTTTTTGGACAGATATCTTGTCTTTCATGTTTTTGGGGTATAGTGATTATGCTTCTGCGGCCGGCGTGGAAAGGGTTTGAAAGGACGAGGTGGGTTCTTGCGCACGAGTTTGCTGTGGGTTCATTTGTAAGGGTGTTTTGTGTTGCGGTGTTTGAGAAAATGTTAGAGTTGTTAGAGCTGGGAAACGAAGGAGGGTGGGTCGATTTAATATTCCACTAAATAAAAAATATATATATATATATATATATATCAAATAAATATAAATATAAATATATTTTTAATATAAATAGAAAATTTAAAATTATAAAATAATTAAAAATTAAATTTGTAATAATACAAATTCAATATATATATATATATATATATATATATTTTTGTGTGTGTGTGTGTGTGTGTATGTGTGTATTAAGAATATAGTGTTGTACATTGATAAAAGAGAACAATAATATTGGTGTAATAATTTGATGAAATATGAATCTTATATAATTTATTCTTTTTTTTTTAACATATAAAAGAAAAATAAAAATAAAATCACTTTTAAATCCATCATTTAAATATCAATCTTTATGATTATACTTCACTTCTTTAAAATATTAATTATTTTAATAATAGATATCTTATAAGTATTGCCTTTGCTATGGAAGAGCAAAAGTTTGATAAAGTAAGTAGTCTTGTATGTTCAAATAGCTCATGTGAAAGTTCTCAGGAGGAAATCATTGATGTAGATTCTTGTGATGTTTTGCTAGGGTCATCATCAAATTACTGTGATTATTCTCAAGATGTTAATGTAGGATTCTTGTAACATGATATAAATAAGATACTTGTATAGATAGTTAAAACCATGGAAGTTTCTAAAATTGAGGTTAGGTTAGTGGATCAGATAGGATCCACTATGGAACATTCTAGAAAGAATTTAGGGCAGTCATTTAAATAGGGCCTATTATGGAGCCTTTTAAAAAAAGAGTTTAAGGTAGTTATTTAGGTGAAATCCACCACCTAGAAATATTCTAGAAAGTCTAGGGTAGTAGAACAAGGTATAAATAGGACTAGCCAAGGCCTTTTGGAGCATCTGATCAGATATGGCTTTGGATCTTTTCTCTTAATAAAATTTGGTTTTGCATCTTTCAATTCAATTTTATTTTGTTCTGTTTTTATTTACTTAGTTTTATCTTTCATGTCCTATTTTGTTTAATTCCATTTAGTTTTGATTTAGATCTATTTTATCTTATTTTGTAATGAGGCTTTATGTTCTTAAAGATTAGAAGGGTCTTGGCTTTTTGAGATAGTTTGATCTTGTTTCATTGATATCATAGTGAGTTTTAAGATTGTTTACTTTTGATAGCATGTCAATAGTCATTATCTAGTCTAAGTTCAATTGTTATAGTCACATAAGATATTGTATTGAGGTTGCCATGAGCTACTCTTAAAAAGTCAATCGGGTGGTGAAAAGACATTACAATAGTGGAGTCCAGCAGAAAAATTACAATATGAGAGATATAATGGAACAATCTCAAATGAAGGCTCAAATACAATATTTCTTAGGCCAAATAACTACTTTGTAAGGACAAATAGAGGCCTTGAAGATAAGAGAGTCGACATTTGTTGTTAGGGTCCATATACAAGACAAGGATTCAAGACCAAGAAATAGAGTTAGCTTAACATTAGAACAACAACTAGATACAAGGCAAGATGGTTCTAGCTAGACCAGAAAAAGTGAGTTGTTGAGACTGAGGATCCTCTCAATCTCGACTCTTATATATATTAGGTCCTAAGAAGCTCCTTGAAAAGTTTCTATGAGGCTTGAAAACAAAGCAAGCCTAAGATCCTTCTTTAGCAACTTCTTAAATCATGTAAAGCCTCCTAGAACCTTCTAGAATCTCCTATGATCTTCTAGAACTTTCTTATAATCTATTAGAACCTTTTGAAACCTTCTGGAACCTCCTAGAATCTTCAAGAGCCTTCTTAGAACCTATTAGTATCTTCTAAAACTTTTTAGAAACTTCTGAAACTTTCTTTAGTTGTATGTCTGTGACATCACTTCCTCTTTCAGCTTCGAGGTTTCCAAGAAGCAATATTGCAACAAGCTAATTTACGTGCAAGAAGTTGAAGATCTGTCACATAATATCTCCTATATATTCTAATTATTTTTTACAAGATAAATGGTTCATAGGCCCTAGTAGCCATTGATAGTGTCTCAAGCCTTCTACTTGTGACTAAGCATAAACTTCCACTAATTTGAAGATGGAAGGAAGAAAAAAGGTTGATCTCAATCTTAAGAATCTTGAAAAGTACCTTTCAAAACCTTGATACAAATTGTGGCCTACAATTTGATACAATGTCATTTGACAACCCATGGTAATGATAGACATTGTGAATAAAGAGTCTTGTAGTCTCTTCACCAATAATTGATTTCTTATAAGGTATAAAATGTGCCATCTTGGTCAATTGATCAAAAACTACAAAGATGGTATCAAATGAGTTTGATGGTCGAAGATTTGTAATAAAATCCATAGAAATATATAACCATGGTTGTCTTGGAACATGAAGGGATTGAAGAAGTCCATATGGCTGATGTCAAAGGTTCTTTGACCTTGAATAAGTATCATATGATAGTACGAATTTCTTAATATTCTTCTACATTTTAGGCCACCAAAAGTCTCTAAATAGAAATTCCAAGATCTTATTGAATCTGAAATGTCCAATTATAAGGAAGTTATGGCATATTTGAAGAACACGCAAGCGAGTTGGTCCTTCTGAAGTGAACAAACATTCTTCAAAGAACAAGAAATTCTCTTCATACTTGAATTTAGAAGATTCTTCACGAAGGTTGTTGGCAAGTTACTTGATATTAAGAATAAGAAGGTCGATGTTTGAGGCTTTACAAACTTGATCAAAAAATGATAAATTTGCAGGCATTGATACATTAGTTGCTCAAAAATAAAATTACTCAAGTTTTAATAAGGTTGCCTATTGTTGATCATATGTTGCCTTGCTTTCTTCTGGTTCAAGGTAGGAATGTCTTGATTATGCATTTGATAACCCTTGTTAGTTCTCAAATTGATATGTAATGCAAAAATCAAATTGTGATAAAGATATATTCTAACGTGCTTGGTGACAATTCAATACTTGGGCTGACATGAAATATTTAAGATTCTTGTGATCTGTATATACAATTACTTGATGAGAGACACCTTCAAGAAAGTAGCTCCATTTTTGGAAAAAATCTATGATAGTAAGTAGCTCTTTATTATGAATTTTATAGTTAATTTTTACCATTGAGAATTTTATTAAATAGAATGCTATTGGATGAAGTTTGCCATCTTTTCCATATTATGACAAAACTGCTCCCAATGCAAAGTCTGAGGCATCAGTCTCCATAAAATAAGGCTTGTTGAAATCTGGATGTATCAAAATTAGAGCTGTTGTAAAAGTATTTTTTAAGCGTTGAAAAACTTTTTTTGCTTTGAGACTCTAGTCTAGTTTGTCTTTGCATATCAACTGTATAAGTGGAGTAGCAATCTTGGAGTAATTCTTAATGAAAATCTTATAGAAGTTTGTAAATCCAAAAAAGTATTGGATATCCCATACAATTTATGGCTTTGCTCAATTGATGATTGCTTGTACCTTCTTTGCATCCATAAAAAGGCATTTGTTGGAAATAATATATTCAACAAACTCGACTTGAGGTGCATAAAATATATACTTTTTTAGTTTTGTATATAGCCCATCACTTCTTTGATTTTCCATCACAAGGTAGAGATGTTTTTTGTGGTCTTCTGGATTCTTAGAAAAGATCATAATATCATCTAAATAAATCACAACAAAGTCATTGAGATACTTACAAAATATGTCATTCATTAAATATTAAAATATGGTTGGAGCATTGATAAGTCCAAAAGGCATGACATTGTATTCAAAAAGTCTAGTCTTTGATTCATCTCCCTCTTTAATGCGTATCAAGTTATATGTGACTCGTAGATCAATCTTCGTAAAGATCTTTGCTTAACCAAGTTGATCAAGAAGTTTGGATATCAATGGCAATGGATATCGATTCTTTATTGTGACTTTATTAAGACTGTGATAATCGACACATATTTATAAGGATCCATCTTTTTTCTTCACAAATTATATCAGAGTACCAGCTGGTGACTTAGAATGTTGAATAAAATTTTTAGCCAAATTTTTTTCAATGTATTCTTTTAAAGTCACAAGCTCATTCTAGGATAAATTATAGATGACTCCAAATGGTGGTTGAGCACATTCTTGAAGGTCAATCGCACAATTGTAAGGACAATGCTTTGGCAAGATATCCGCATTTTTCTTTTCAAATACATCTACAAAATCCTTACATGCCTTTGGAATTATTGTTGTAGCAACCACAAGTGTTAATTGTAGAATTGCATAAAAAATAAACGTAATACCTAATTTGGCCGCCCTCACAAATATTCTAGCTCTAATAAATAAATGCTGTTTAAGTTTTGGCTTCTCAGGTGTTAGAAGCTTTTTTATAAATCTGGGGGTTCTATGATCTATTAGAAGAAAATCTAACTTTTGTAATACCCAATCTATTTGTAGATTATATTTTCCAAGCCATGAGAGTCATAAAATAATTACACTTGATGATAATCTAATGACATTGAATACTACTTGGTTGCTATAGTTGTCAAAGGTTATTTCTAATAGAATTGTTTCATAAGTGACATCTCTAGAGGATAAAGGTCGACCATCTATTACTTCTATATATACGGCTTTGGATTTTTTGACCATATAGATTTTTTATGATTTAAAAAATTCTTTGTCAATAAAACATGCAGAGGCTCCTGAGTGAGGTAATGCATGACAATCTAGTTTTATGACTCTTAACCACACAAATATAGTAAAACAACAAAAAGGGCTAGTAGAGAGTAGAGGATCTTTTTTGGTTTGTGATAGTGAAAAATCAAGCCACATGGTTTCTACTATAGTTGGACACCCTCGTTTTCCTACAACTCTTTTGATGATGTGGCTGCACTCCTCATTCAATATACATATTGGCATTTCTTTGAACAATTATTAATCTTATGGCCAGATTTTCCACAATATAAG